TAAGACATGTGCACACACAGGTGAGACACACAGCACCACACAGGTGAGATACAGTACCACACAGGAGACACAGCACTGAAGCACACAGGTAAGACACACAGCACACACAGGTAAGACACAGTACCACAGGTGGGGAGACACAGTACCACACAAAAAGACACAGTACCACACAGGTAAGACACAGTACCACACAGGTGAGACACAGTACCACACAGGTGAGACACAGCACCACACAGGTAAGACACAGCACCACACAGGTGGAGATAGTACCACAGGTGAGACACAGCACACACCGTGGTAAGACACAGTACCACACAGGTGAGACATTAGCACCACACAGGTGAGACACAGCACCACACAGGTAAAGAGGACAGCACCACACAGGTAAGACATGTACCATACAGGTAAGACACAGCACCACACAGGTAAGCATACACAGTACCACACAGGTAAGACACAGTACCACACAGGTAAGACACAGTACTGGTACAGGTGAGACACAGTAACACACAGGTAAGACACAGGCACCACACAGGTGGGGAGACACAGTACCACATTGGCAGGTAAGACACAGTACCACACACAGGTAAGACATTGTGCACCACACAGGTGAGACACAGTACCACACAGGTAAGACACATAGTACCACAGCAGGAGACACAGTACCACACAGGTAAGACACAGTACCACACAGGTAAGACAAGGTACCACACAGCAGACACACACAGCAACACAGGTGAGACACAGTACTACACAGGAGACACAGCACCACACAGGTAAAGACACAGCACCCCTGGTAAGACACAGTACCACACAGGTGAGAGACACAGCACCACACAGGTAAGACACAGTACCACACAGGTGAGACACAGCATTGCTGGTGGTGAAGACACAGTACCACACAGGTATGACACAGCACCACACAGGTAAGACACACAGCACCACACAGGTAAAACACAGCACCACACAGGTAAGACACAGTACCACACAGGTGAGACACAGTACCACAGGTAAGACACAGTACCACACAGGTAAAGACACAGTACCACACAGGTGAGACACAGCACCACAGGTGAGACACAGCACCACACAGGTGAGACATAGCACACAGGTAAGACACAGTACCACACAGGTGAGACACAGCAATTACTGGCTGGTGGTGAGACACAGTACCACACAGGAGACAAGAAAACACACAGGTAAGAGCACAGTACCACACAGGTAAGAAACAGTACCACACAGGTGAGACATTAAGTACCACACAGGTGAGACATTGTGCACTACACAGGTAAGACAGTACCACACAGGTAAGACACAGTACCACACACACAGGTGAGACACAGTGCACACAGGTGAGACACAAAGGTACCACACAGGTGAGACACAGTACCACAGAGATGAGGCACAGTACCACACAGGTGAGACACACAGCACCACACAGGTAAGACACAGTACCACACAGGTGAGACACAGTACCACACAGGTAAGACACAGTACTAGCCACAGGTGAGACACAGTACCACACTATAAAGACACAGTACCACACAGGTGGAAGAGACAGCACCACACAGGTGAGCACACAGCACACAGGTGAGACACAGCACCACACAGGTGAGACATAGCACACAGAGATGAGGCACAGTAACAACACAGGTGAGACACAGCACCACACAGGTAAAGACACACACACACACAGGTAAGACACAGCACCACAGAGATGAGGCACAGTACCACACAGGTAAAGACACAGACCACACAGGTAAGACACAGTACCACACAGGTGAGACACAGCACACAGAGATGAGGCACAGTACCACACAGGTGAGACACAGTACTGCAGAGATGAGGCACAGTACCACACAGGTAAGACACAGTACCACACAGGTAAGACACAGTACCACACAGGTGACACAGTACCACACAGGTGAGACACAGTACTACACAGGTGAGATAATAACACCACACAGGTAAGACACAGTATCATTGCGAGATGAGGCCAGTACCACACAGGTGAGACAGCACCACACACAGGTACACACAGTACCACACAGGTACACACAGTACCACACAGGTAAGCACACACAGCACCACACAGGTAAAGACACAGCACCACAGAGACAGCACAGTGCAGCACACTGGTGAGACACAGCACCACAGAGGTAAGACACACACACTCGTGAGACACAGTACTGACAGAGATGAGGCATGCACCACACAGGTGAGACACAGCACCACACAGGTAAGACACAGTACCACACAGGTAACACACAGCACCACAGCTGTAAGACACAGTACCAGCCACAGGTAAGACACACACACAGGTGAGACATACACCACACAGGTAAGACACAGTACCACACAGGTAAGACACACACCACACAGTAAGACACAGTAACACAGAGATGAGGCACAGTACCACACAGGTGAGACACAGCACACACAGGTAAGACACAGCACACACAGGTAAGACACAGCACCACACAGGTGAGACACAGTACCACACAGGTAAGACACACACACACAGGAGATGAGTACAGTAGCACACTCTGTGAGACACAGTACCACACAGGAGACACACACACACAGGTAAGACACACAGTACCACAGAGATGAGGCACAGTACCACACAGGTAAGACACAGTACTGTACACAGGTAAGACACACAGTACCACACAGGTGAGACACAGTACCACATAGGTGAGACACACACACAGGTGAGACACAGCACTCACAGAGATGAGGCACAGTAGCACACTGGTGAGACACAGTACCACAGAGGTAAGACACACACCACACCTGTGAGACACAGTACCACACAGGTGAGAAAACAGTAACACACAGTGAGACCTAGTACCACACAGAGATGAGGCACAGTAGCACACTGGTGAGACACAGTACTCACAGAGATGAGGCACAGTACCACACAGGTAAGACACAGTACCACACAGGTGAGACACAGTACCACAGAGATGAGGCACAGTACCACACAGGTAAAGACACAGCACTAATACAGGTAAGACACAGTACCACACAGGTGAGACACAGTGACCACAGGTGAGACACAGTACCACACAGGTGAGACACAGTACTGACAGAGATGAGGCACAGTAGCACACTGGTGAGACATAGTACCACACAGGTGAGACACAGTACCACACAGGTGAGACAGTACCACAGAGATGAGGCACAAAGTACCACACAGGTAAGACACAGTACCACACAGGTAAAGACACACACACACCTCGTGAGACACAGCACACACAGGTACAGCACACATTATAGTAAGAAACAGTACCACACAGGTAAAACACTGTACCACACAGATGAGAAACAGCACCACGCAGGTAAGACACTGTACCACACAGGCAAGAAACAGTTCCACACAGGTGAGAAACAGTACCACACAGGTGAGACACAGTCCCACACAGGTGAGACGCTGTACCACACATGTGAGAGACATTGTACCACACACGTAAGACACAGTACCACACAGGTGAGAGACCCAGTACCACACAGATGAGACACAGTACCATAAAGGTGAGAAACAATACCACATAGGTGATAAACAGTTCCACACAGGTGAGAAACAGTACCACAGAGATGAGGCACTGTACCACACAGATGAGACACAGTACCACAGAGATGAGGCACAGTACCACACAGGTGAGACACAGTACCACACAGATGAGGCACAGTACCACACAGGTGAGACACAGTACCACAGAGATGAGGCACAGTACCACACAGGTGAGACACAGTACCACAGAGATGAGAGCACAGTACCACTGGGTAAGGAGACACGGCCTGCCCGCAGGGTAAGACTACAGTACCACACAGGTGAGACACAGTACCACAGGTGAGACACAGCCACACAGGTGAAGTTACAATACCACACAGGTAAGACACAGTTCCACAGAGATGAGGCACAGTACCACACAGGTGAGACACAGTACCACACAGGTAAGACACAGTACCACACAGGTAAGACACAGTACCACACAGGTAAGACACAGTACCACACAGGTAAGACACAGTACCACAGAGATGAGGCACAGTAGCACACTGGTGAGACACAGTACCACAGAGGTAAGACACAATACCACACTCGTGAGACACAGTACCACAGAGATGAGGCACAGTACCACACAGGTGAGACACAGTACCACACAGATGAGGCACTGTACCACACAGGTGAGACACTGTACCACACAGGTGAGACAATCATCAATGCAGCTGCTCCATCATAACTATAGGTGACCCCTTATAACTACAGCTGCCCCCATCATATCTACAGTTGCCTCATCACTGCTACTCCATCAGCACTGAACTTGCCAGATCATCACTTTAGTAACCACTGCAGCATAATCCAAACCTGGTTCAATTGCTTCCCTAAATATGCTGAAAATCGCCGAACAGCCAGTGACGTAACAAACTAACTTTACTTTCATTTACTTGTTTATTCATGTGACCGTCATCAATACAAGTGAGCCATTACAGGTACTTATGTTGTTCTTAGTGCTAATAAGCAGTGAACCACTACCTTCTAGCAATCTTACAAGTGTTTATTGACATATTAATCGTGTACTTGTGTGAGCATACTATGAATATTTGTATGTAAATGAGAAAACTATCACTGTTCGTTTTATCTACCCTCTACCATACTGAATTGATAACTATTTAAATGAGTGCACTTTGCCTTGTCTACAGTGTTGAAACTTCTGGTAGACATTCTTGTCTAATTATTAAGTGATATTTGGAATTGATGTAACAAATTTCCAAACTTTACTAGAAGTTTTAATATATAATCAGTAACAGCAGCTATTTTGGATTTGCCAGTATTTCCGGTCATATGATAAATTGTTCGTGACACCTCTTCTAAGGTGTCTAGATATAGGCTAAATAATGTTTTTATCCAGCATGTAACGATCCTTTGCATAACTGACCTGACAAAGTTTTTTTTTCTGACGTTAACGTTTAGGAAAATCACTTCACTAACTCACCCTCTCCATGTCGAAATCCGGCAGAGGCGTTACTTTGGGACAGCTACCGAAAAACGCTTCATGAGCGTGGGCAAGTGTGAAGAGGCAGCCCACCACAAGCAGTAGCATGACCAAGTTCATTTTTCTGCAAGAAGAGATGGTGTGTAAAGAACGTTATGCACTTGAAGCGATAAGGTGTTCAAGGACCAGTGAGGGTTTGGGTGTGGAGTACGGAGAACATCGTGAGGGTGTGGTGAGTGGGTGTAGAGAACATCACGAAGGTGTGGTGGTGGGGTTTAAAGAACATCACGTGGGTGTATGGTGGTGAGGTGTGGAGAACACGATGAGGGTGTTTTGTGGCGACGTGTGGAGAAAATCATGAGGGCGTGTGGTGGTGAGGTGTGGAGGGTGTCACATTCCTCCGCCTAGGTCAACGTCATCTGGGGGTTGGAAACAACACCACCTTATCACCTGGGTCAACGCCATCTGGGGGTCGGCAAATTAACCAATCCTACCTTGCCGCATCACGACGTTGGAGCAGAGTCAGAATCCTCATAACAACACTACCACGTCTCCCTAGCCTCTACCTGGTAGAGGCTACGGAGTCTACCACAACACTCTAGCCTCTCCCGTGAACCACTAAGGTGACGAGAGGCTTGCATCTTGCCCTAAACCGCAGTTCACTCTCATCCTCTGTCCTGGAACAGTGGCTCGGCGAGCCACTGTTCCAGGCTCGCCCTTAGGACCTCTACCTTCCCGGGGTTCCTTCGCTTCCAGTGACCGCCTTAATCATCCGGCGTACCATAACATTTCCCGCAGAGAGAAGTATGGTTTAAGTTTTTCTCTGGCTCCTCTTTGCTCTTGCCCCACTTGTTTTAGTTTGTATATACTGTAGTTAGGATATTTATAGGTTTAGCTAGGGCACTGGTGTATTTTTTTACCTGTGCCCACCTGGGCACAGGTTATTTTATGACCCACATCAAGGCCTGGGGGGACGAAAATATTATAAAATAATAATAATAATCAAATTAATAAAATTTAATATAAATTATAATTATAATAATAATAATAGTAAAGAGCCATAAATAAATACAATATTTTAAAATATATCAATAGTGAGAAATGATATACTGTATGGGGTATGTATGTTGTGTTGTCAATAGTAAGAAACAATTGAGACCCTGCAATTGCGTTTAAATGAGGCTGAAAGTCAGATGAGTAACCTGGAACTTGGTCACAATTTTCGTGATGCCATATGGCAGCTGGGTCTACCATTAGACAACACATTATGCTTCCAATATCTTCCCAGGCGGTAGTACCTCCCTGTTTGGTAGCTGCCTATTACCTAGCGGTTAGGATTTATTGTCTTTATAATTAGTTATTATTGTTATTAAATATTAAGAACTCCTTCCTTGTATAATGCCCACCCATTTCCCCTGGATTCTTTCTTAAATTTCCTTACTTTAGTTACGAGGTGGCTTCTATGGGTGGACCCGACATTAAGTTTAACTAGCTAACTTGTAACAAGGGTCTCGTGATTGTGTAGAGGGGTGTAGAGAACATCATGAGGGTGTGGCGGTGGGGTGTAGAGAAGATCATAAAGGTGTGTAGAGGGGTGTGGAAAATATTATGAGGGTGTGGCGGTGGGGTGTGGAAAACATTATGAGGGTGGGATGTATAGAGAACTTCAGGAGGGTGTGGCGGTGGGGTGTGAAGAATAGTAACAAAATTACTAAACTACAATATGTTGTAACCACTAGACTAGGGTTAGGATATACATAGCTCTAACAGTAAGCCCTCATGCAGAGGTGAACGAAACTATATATAAATTGTGCGGTCACACTTGGCCACACACTCCAACACTACATGCTGGTCTGTGAACAAAATAGAAACTTTTTCGGGACATTTCCCATCTAGTATCTGATAAACATGTATATAATTAACTAAACAAATAATGTTCTGAAAATACGACGTAAAACTCAACGCAACAGTATCCTAACCTCTTCTCGCAGGATGAGTACGGGGTGCACAATAAACAACCTGCTGTCCTTGGCCAAAATAAATAAAAAATCACGCACACACTACGACAGCACTCTCTCATTCAACACTATCACGACACTCACTCACGCACTACCACCATCTCACTCGCCGCCTAAAATTACACTTATTTATACACTACTCGCATACACACCACCACCACCACACTCGCATACACACCACCACCACACTCGCATACACACCACCACCACACTCACATACACACCACCACCACACCTCACATCACACCACCACCACACTGGCATGCACACCACCACCACACACCACCACCACACCTGCACACACCACCACCACCACACTCATGCACACCACCACCACACACCACGCACACCACCACCACACTGCATACACACCACCACTAAACTCACATACACCCACAAACTCACATACACACCACCACTAAACCGCATACACACCACCACCACCACCACTACACCTGTATACACACCACCACCACCACCACTAAACCGCATACCACCACCACCACCACTAAACCGCCCACCACCACCACCACCATCACTAAACTGCCTGCCCACCACCACCACCACCACCACCAAACCTGCATACCCACCACCACCACCACCACCACCACTAAACTTGCATACCCACCACCGCCACCACCACTAAACCACCACCACCACCACTGACCTGCATGCCCACCACCACCAAACCATGCCCACCACCACCACCACCACCACCAAACCTCACCCACCCCACACCACCACCACCACTAAACTCGCATACCCACCACCACCACCACCACCACTACTCATGCATACCCACCACCACCACCACCATACCACCACCACCACCACCACCACTCGCATACCCACCACCAAAACCACCACCAGCATACACCACTACACCACCACTGACCACTCATACCCACCACCAGCAGCACCACTAAACTCGCATACCGCACCACCACCACGCACACCCCTACACCACGACACACCACTGCACACCACCACTACCCCACACCACCACCACACCACATACGCATACCCACCACCACCACTGCACCACCTCACACACTACACCACCACCACCACCACACACCATACCCCACCACCACACCCACGCATACCCACCCCCACCACTACACTACCCCCACCACTTCCATACCCACCACCACCACCACCCCACCCACCCCCACCACCACACTGCATACCCACCCCCACCACTACCCACCTACGCATACCCACCCCACCACCACACCTGCACACACCACCCCCCCCACCACACCTCATACCCACCCCCACCACTATCGCATACCCACCCCACCACTACACTCGCAGACCACCACCTCACCACCACACCTGCATACCCACCACTACACTCGACCCACCACTACACCCGCCACCACCATCACCACTACACCAACCCACCACTACACTCATACACCCCACCACACTCATACCCACCACACCACACCTGCACTACCCACCACCACACTATACCCACCACCACTACCCACTCCGCACCTACCACTCACGCATACCCACCCCACCACACACCCACCCCCACCACCACACCACACCCCACCCCACCACCACACACCACCCCACCACCACCACTACACTACACCTGCATACCCACCCCCACCACTACACTGCATACCCACCCCACCCCACACCCACCACCACCACACTGCATACCCACCCCCACCGCTACACCCACCCCACCACTACACTGCATACCCACCACCACTGCTACCACCATAGCCACACCACCACCACTGCACTATCCACCACCGCCACCACCACCACCCACCACCACACCACCACCACCACCACCACCACCACACTCCTACCCACCACCACCACCACCACCACACCACACACCACCCCACACCACCACCACCACCACCACCTTGCCACCACCACCACCACCACCACACCTACATACCCACCACCACCACCACCACCACCACATACCCACCACACCCACCACCACCACCACCACCACCACCACCACCACCACCTGCACCACCACCACCACCACACCACACTCGCATACCCACCACCACCACCACCACCACCACACACACCCCACCCACCACCACCACCACCACCACACACTGCACACCCACCACCACCACACCACACCACCACCACCACCACCACCACACCTCTGCCACACCCACCACACCCCAGATGTGCATACCCACCCACCACCATTACACCTGCACACCCACCACCACCACCACTACACTCATACCCACCACCACCATCACTACACCAGCATACCCACCACCACCACCACTACACTGCACACCCACCACCACCACCACACTCGCATACCCACCCCCACCACTGATACCCACCACCACTACACTCGCATACCCACCACCACCACTACACTCGCATACCCACCACCACCATTACACTCGCATACCCACCACCACCAACACTACACACCACCTCACCACACACTTGAAAAAAAATGATCGCACTAACGAACAATTATATTTGCTAAATTGAAAATGTTAAAATTTGATGATATAAACACTTACTGCTGTGCTTTATTTGCTAATAAATCAATTAATCACTTGAATGATAATAATTATTTCCAGTTCTGGAATATGAAGAGCGACAATTTAGACGCCCATGCGCTCCTCTTAGTCCCAGACCTCCACGAAATATCATGGTGTGAAGGTGTGGAACAACGAATGTAGGAAAAAATGGCACAGGAAAAAAGGGCACAGGAAAAAAGGGCACAGAAAAAATGGCAATAGGAAAATGTGGCACCGGAAAAAAAGGGCATAATAATCAGACTAGGAAAAAATGGCACATTCATTTTTATTGACATGTTTTCGCTAAAAATTTATAACGCTTGTTTCTGAATCTTACTTAGTTATATGAACGTCATAACCTAAAACATGACCTCACGTGAGGTGACCTTACACAATGTACCCACAGAGGACGACCTCACTTTACCAAGTGAACATGACAACGATAACTTCACAAAATATGAAGGTTGAGGATGACTTGATCACGAGATCTGAGGTTGACGAGTTCCACAAGACTTTAAATAATGAGTTACTTAATGCACAAAGGCAGAGCATACCATATAGAAAACTCAGATCAAACAACAATGACCCTAAATGGATAAACAATTATTTAAAGAATATTATTGGACAAAGGAAGGCTATAGGTAGGAGAATAAATCGTGGTGAAGTTTACCTCCGAGATTATTATAAAGTATTGGCTGGTTGGGTTAAGGCCGATATAAGAAAAGCAAAGAGGAATAATGAACGAAGGTAGCAAGGGAGGCGAAGTCAAACCCCAAGGGATTCTTTCAAATATATCAAACTAAAACACGTGATATGATCGAGGTGTATAAATGGAAGTCAGGGCTAAACAAAGGTGATATAGCAAGTTACCAAACATCATCATTAACTCGAATACGCTGGATAGCTTCAAACACAGGCTCGTTAGCTCGTAAGTTCGTTTGTGGTTCGTGAGCTCGAAGTGAAATTTGTTGTGCCATTTTTCCTAGTATGAAAATTGTGCCATTTTTTCCTGTGCCCTTTTTTCTTGTGCCATTTTTTCAGAGTACCGGAACAACTTACCCACAACTATTCGAGCAAAGATTACGCTATCTTCCCTGAAACCATCTCTTAAAAAAATATCTATTGTCCAAGTTTTAATATTTTATAACGCCTACCTTACCATCAAAGCCATTATATCATACTGTCAAGTAAACAGAAAATACCATTGCAATAATTATATATTTGCCGTCAAGCAATTATTCTGACTGTCTGCCCTCTTGTTTCACTTAAACAATGTGAGCCATGTTGTATTGCTTTCCTGACTTATCAAATCAGTTTATTATTATCAACTCTTCTGTAAATATGTATACTGTATATTTATAATATGAATGTAAAAAATAAATAAAAACAAACCTATATCAATGCATAATTAAAAAAAATAATGGTGGTAACATTCTCATATGTATTTACTAACCCCATGTTATGTGTACTATTCCAGATGATACTAAATGTTATATAATAATTCCTCGAGATAAATGTACAGTATATAACAGGTGCCTCTAAGAGACCCGAGGCTTTCAATTGGCTCGGCCTTTCCAACATTGATATTACTGTCAAGTCTATCTGTATTTTTCTGGCTAAATAAACTGTTTTAACATCAATATAAATATCACTACCACCACCACCACCACACTCGCTAACATAATACTACCACTCTCACTTACACATGACCACCACACCACATACACACCACCACCACACTAACATACACCACTACTACTATACTCACTTACCCACCTCCACCACACACACTTACATCCAACACATTCACTTACACACCACCACCACCACACTCACTTACACACCACCACCACCACCACCACCACCACACTCACTTATACACCACTACCACACTCCCTTATACATATTTAAATTTTAGGTGGTGAAAACTATTGAAAAACATCTATTTAGATAATTATTGCTCATTTATCCGTCGTTATCAGTCAGCTCGCCAGTGTCTGACTGTATTGGTCCAATCTTATCTCGTGATTTAATTTGATACATTTGAAAGAATCCCTTGGGGTTTGGCTTCGCCTCCATTGTTACCTTCAGTATTATTATTCCTCTTTATAATAATCTCGGAGGCAAACTTCACCACGATTTATTCTCCTCATAGCAATGGTTTTAAATTAGACTAATTTAGATTTAGGCGAGAGATAGGTAAACATTGGTTTGGAAATAGAGTAGTGGACGAGTGGAACAAGTTACCAAAAATCATTATTAACTCGAATACACTAGATAGCTTCAAACATAGGTTGGATGGATATATGAGCGATAGACCTGGTGCCGTTGTCTCCATTCTTATAATCTTACGTTCTTATGTAAACCCCGCTACCACACACTGCCCTACACACCACCACCACACACTGCCCTACCACACACTGTTCTACACACACACACAGTTGTAAAAAGTACTGGACTTTGTTACTTAAGTAAAAGTATGGTTACATTGGCAACATGCTACTCAAGTAGAAATAAAAGTATCCAAATGTCAATGTACTTAAGTAGAATTAAAAATCATCTCATTCTTAAGGTACTCAAGTACTGAAAGTAAAAAGTAACATCAAAATTAGCATTTGTCTCAAATATTAAAATAAATTTACATTAAATTTTACAAAAATAGTTAACTAAAGATAAAAATTGAAAAGGCAGAATTTCTCATGCTTATTTGTTAATCATTCTGTTAAGATTAATTAATACCTGATTCTCAAAATTATGGCTGTCCATTCAGGATTTTTAGGCCTAAATATATGCCCAGCATGACCTATCGAAAGAGAATACTCATACGTTCAGCCGCTGTTCTCCCTACAATCCATCGCAGGGATTGTGAATGAGCTGAAAATATATCCACCCAATACTACATAAGAACATAATAGAGACACAACAGCGCTTCCTGTCACCCTGGCCAACAGTTCCCTTCGACATCACCACACCCATGTACCCGCCTAAACGACTGACCACACATAATCTTTACCTCCAACATACATAACCTACAAACTGAAAATAACATCATACAGACCATCTACATAGACGGCTCTCTTAACACTGTCTGTGGGAGGGCTGGAAGTGCTGTCATTGTGACTGAACCTAACGGGAATGTAATAGAGAAAGGAGCTAGAATTAGTAACTGGGTATCCACTTTACAAACTAAACTATCTGCCATACTCACAGCCCTGAAACTTGTTGAAGAGACTGCCGCTGTCTGTCTCTTCACAACTGCATCCTTAACCTCAATACTTAATCTTGATACCATAAATTCGGATAGCTACCGGCTTGTCTCTGAAGCCAGGCACAAGCATATGTGTCTTTCTAACAGGGGTATCAGGATCAAACTGCTGTGGCTCCCCTCTCACACTGGCAACAGTCAACATGATAGAGTAGATGCCTTAGATAAACTCGCATCCAAGAATGGCAATGTTGAATACAATCTTGAACGGTCAAACAAAACCCTAAAAACTGTAACCAGAAAAGAGCTTTCTGGTGAATTTGAAGCAGGTAAACAAGTGCAAACAGGCACTAACCAAATCATTGCTTATCATGTTGAAATGCATCAAGTAAAACATGTATATGGAGCAGGTAACAAGATCACTAAATTACGAGATGTTGTAACCACATGACTAAGGTTAGGATATAAGTACCTCTAGCAGTATGTCCCTCAGGCAGATGTGAACAAAGCTATATGTAAAGTGTGCGGCCAGACACACTTCAACGCTACGTCTTAGACTGTGAAAATAAATAGAATCTTGTAGGGATAGATCCAATCACACTGTGTATGCAATGGCACACACAACACTTTATCTCTGATGGCAAGATATACTAAGGCTGTATCCACACTTCGCATCTAGTACCTAATCAAAATTTTATACACCGACTTAAACAAACAATGTACTGGAAATAATCTAACATTCATTGCCATAATATCATGATCATTGGGGTCTGATAAACACCCTTTGTGGCCCATACTCTGTAATCGTTTTTGCTCTACCGCTCATAGGATGAGTTTGGGGTGCACAATAAACTAGCAGTTATACAAGGCAAAATTCAATTCACTTCATATTGTCTTAGACACCACCACCACACATTGTATTACTCACCATCACCTCACACAAACTGCCCTACACACCACTACCACCTAAACATCGCCATAACACACTGTCGTACACAACACACTGTCATATACACCAAGGACTAGAAACAGTATCTTATCCTGGGTATACACACCATCATTCACTGTCTTACACACCACCACCAAACACTGTACTTCACACCACCACCAAACACTGTACTTCACACCACCACCAAACACTGTACTTCACACCACCACCAAACACTGTACTTCACACCACCACCAAACACTGTAGTTCACACCACCACCAAACACTGTAGTTCACACCACCACCAAACACTGTATTTCACACCACCACCAAAC